CTAAAAGCAGAAAAGTCTAAAACTGGCTGTCTCTGGAAAGGAGGACCAGAGTGGGGCAGGGAGCTCTTGCTTTTTTCTATAATCCCTGTTAGATCACATTTCGATTATGCGCAGGTTTTACTTTCACAAAACTTACAAGAAAAACCTTCTCAATTTTCCATATTTTCCATGATGGACATGTAGACAATGATAATGTATAATAATACATGAAAAGCTTAACTTATTAGTAATTTATTTCAAAAATCTTAATTGTGTGAAAAACACATGACCAAAATTTATCATCTTAACCACTGTGATGTGTACAATTCATCAGTGTTAACCATATTGACACTGTTGTGGAACAAATCTCTAGAACTTTTTCATCTTGTAGAATTAACTCTGTACCCTTTGAACAACTCCCCATTTCTCCTGCCCCACAGCCCCTGGCAACCACCATGCTACTTTCTGTTTCTACAAATTTGACTTTAGATACCTAGTGTAAGTGGAATCGTGAAATATTTGTCTCATTTCACTTAGCATTAATGTCCTCAAGGTCCATCCATGTTGTAAGCATGTAACATGATTTCCTTCTTTAAGGTCGAATAGTATTCCATTGTGTAGAAAGACCATGTTTTCTTTATCCATTTTTCTTTTTTTTTTTTTTAAATTTTTATTTATTTATGATAGTCACACAGAGAGAGAGAGGCAGAGACATAGGCAGAGGGAGAAGCAGACTCCATGCACCGGGAGCCCGACGTGGGATTCGATCCAGGGTCTCCAGGATCGCACCCTGGGCCAAAGGCAGGCGCTAAACCGCTGCGCCACCCAGGGATCCCTCTTTATCCATTTTTCTATGTGGATGAACATTTGAGTTACTTCAACCTCTTGGATATTGCAGATAATGTTGCAATGATCAAAAAAAAAAAAAAAGAAAAAGATAATGTTGCAATGAGCATGCATGCAACCTTAACTTATTTTTTTAAAAAGGACCCCCCAAATAGATGTGGGAACTATGCTCAGAGAAGGCCCAGAATTTAAGTCCCTCCTGGGCCAGAACAAGCCTAGGGACTGCCTGCCTTCACCCTCCTGACAGCTGGGAAGTTGATCAAGGCCTGACCTCTTGGTCTGCAAGTTGGAGGAAGTGTGAGATAAAGTCGTGGAATAGCATGGAAAGTGCACAGAATGGATCCAACTTGACATAAGCCTGGCACATAGTCTACTTTGTCATCCATCTGCCTCTGCTGGTGCTCTTGCAGCCCTGCTCAAATCTACCCAATACCTTGGCCTGGCTTCTAGTAGTGTGTGCAGCTGCAATCTGAGTTCAATGGGAAGACAAGTCTCCACTTGATTAACTGGCTGCCTTTCCCACAAGTTCACTTTTTTCCTTTGGTCTTGGGCCCGTGCCTTGGTGTTAATTTGCAGGGCTAGTTTAGGTCTCTCCTGGGCTGTCAGGACCCCTTTCCCTAGTCCCTGACCATCTTGATAGCACAAATCCCTTTCTAGGCTGGAGGCTGTGGGTGGGGCCGTTCTCTCTGCTGGCTAGCTTGGATGGTTTCCCACTGTGCTAGGTGACAGATTGTTCTTGGACAGGAAATTATTTAAGTTCAGCTTTTCCTCTGATGATCTGGGAGGCTTTCAGTCAACACATGTGCAACTGAGATCCCTTAGGGATCTGGCCATTAATGGGGTCCTTAGGCATAGCGTGAGATACTTTCCATAGTGAGGGAAGAGGAGTGGGATATGGGGTCTCCCATACCGTGGAGGGAGGGTGTTCCCTCTGGGGGTAGTGTGGAAGTGATTTCCTTCCTCACTGGACTGGCTTTGGAGCCACCTGGTAGCCTCAGATGACCTTTTGTGAGGTTCTTTTCAGAGGCAGTGGCTCTCGGAGGGAGAGGCTGGGGGACAGTTGCCAGAGTTCAGGCAACTGATGTCTGTGTCTAGGAAGGAGGTTGACACCAGGGTCTTCTTCATTTCCCAGTTCTGTACCATCTGCCTTTCCTGACGTAGATCGTTGATTGGGATGTTCCATTCCAATTTATCCTGCCTTTTTCCCTTCCAAGCCCTGGAGGGTCATGGAGGAAGGATGTTCTCTAAGACTTAGCATCTAATACATAACCACTAGCCACATGTGGCCATTGAAATTTAAATCCAAAAAAAAAAAAAGAAATTTAAATTCATTTCAATTAAATAAAATTGAAAATTCAGTTTCTCAGTTGCACTAGCTAGACTATAAGTGCTCAGTAGCCATATGTGGCTCCCATAATGGACACTGAAGATAGAGAACATTTGCATCAACACTGAAAGTTCTTTTGGACAGACTGCCCTAAGCCTCCTCTCTTTTTCCCCCTACAATTCTGATCTGGAGTGACTGATAGCAGTTGTTGCCTTACACTGGGGCCCCCAGAGCATGCTGCCTACTGAGAATTCAAAAGCAGAGAATGAGCAGGGTGGAAATGTCTTTAGTCTCCACTCAATATTGAGTCCAGGGCAGCCTTAGGCTCTGAAATCTTGCTCTTCCTGAGTATGACACCTACTGGGTCCTTGCTCTTCCTAGTATGACACCTACAGTCCTGAAACTACCACCCAAGCCCTTTAAGTGATGTCTGGCCTGCAGCAAGGATTCTGTTCTGCTCACCACCAAATCCATTTCACAAATTTTCCATGGTGTAAAAGTAGGCCAGCCTAACCGGGTCTTCTGAGCTAGATCCCACTCCTAAGACACCTACATCCCTTTGGATGTTTACCCAGTTACTAACTCTGTTGTGGGTGTCCTGTGATAGGTAGCTGTTGTCCCTACACAAGCCCTCTTAGCAATTAACCATTTGTTTCCCTAGGAAAAGAATCTGGCTATGAGGACTGGGAATAATTGGGAAATGTGTCTATCTGGGGAGTCCATAAAAGGGAATGGGGTTTTCCAGAATAATGCAACACAGTCTTGCCTTCTTCCCCAGGCCATCCCTGTGTTATTTTTTCAGTTTTTTTGGGTCCACCCCACAGTACAGGTGTTCCCCACAGGACAGTTAACTTTGGGATTCTTGTCAGTGAACCTCTTTTATCTCCATTGTCAGGGATGCTGACAAGGGACTTATGAAGAGGAAGCAGGAGGGAAACTTCTACTCTTTCCACTGGTGTTGTTAAGTTCAGAGAATATGAATCTTAGGTGACTGGCAGTCATTTTCCCTGCTTTATTGTGAGAGCCAACATTTAGGGTGGTTCTTAGTACAGTATAAAATGGGAAAGAAAACAGAGCCCTGAGATATTAGAGCTCCTAGAGGCAGCTGTGCCTTAACACTCTTGTCAACTAATGGACCTCCATACCTGGATTTTCCCATCTAAGAGACAAAGCCCTTTCTGCTTAAGTTAGTTTTATGTTGAGTGTCTGTCACTTGCAACCCAAAGAACTCTAACTAATAGAGTCATTAGATCTGAATATTTGGAAGGAGGAAACCTCTGTTTGATGATCATGTCTTTGCCAAGACACTTGAAAAGAATGACTAGATCGGAACACCAGTGAACCAGAGATAGCTCACACGTATACCAGCATCACACACAGACCAATCTTTTTTTTTTTAAGATTTTATTTATTTATTCATGAGATACACAGAGAGAGGGAGGGAGAGGCAGAGACACAGGGAGAGGGAGAAGCAGGCTCCATGCAGGGAGCCTGACGCAGGACTCCATCCCTGGACTCTAGGACCACCTGCCGGGCCAAAGGCAGATGCTAAACCACTGAGCCACCCAGGGATCCCCAAGAAGTCTTTCTTGACCACTCTAGCCTGTAGCCTACAGTAAGCTCTCTGCTCTCTGGCTTTTTGTACCAATTGGAATGATCAAAAATTGCAGACTGTCTTATACCTTGTCTGCTTTCACTGTCTAGAATGGCATTTTAAAGATTTTACTGTTATATATTTCCAGTTTGTCACCCTCTTCTACCTGGTTGAGGTCAGAGATGGGGTCCGATGTTTTGTGTGCTTGACAGGAGCCCGTATAATGGCTGGCACATGCTAGAACTGCAATGAACGTCTGTGGGTTAGAAATTTGTGGAAACTAGTGTGAGAGCTATAGGAGTCAGGTCTGTGTCCTGTTACCCTCAGTGGGAAATAAGTACTCCACTTAAATGCCCAGGGGGTGGGGGTTTGTGTGTTGCATTCCCCTAGTAAGCTATGTGGTTTACCAAAAAATTCTTTTTCACTTCAGGGGGTTGAGGATGGAGGGAGAGGAGGAGCACAAGAAGGAAATGGAGAGGAAGTGAGAATGTAGATCTTTGCTTGATGGCTGAGACCTCCCAGCGATGGGTCCCTAAGTCACATGGGCTAGTGGAGACTAGAAGTGACTCTGTGCCTCAGACTTCCCTCAATTTCTCTGTCATGAGAGGGGAGAGCAGACAAGGAGGGTGGGCGTAGGTGGGGACAGGCACAGAGAATCAACTCCTCTCTGGAAGTGCCTTCAGAACTGGCTCAGGTGGGGTGCCTGGGTGACTCTGTTGGTTAAGTGTCTGCCTTCGACTCAGGTCATGATTCCAGGGTCCTGGGAGCCTGCCTCTTCTTATCCTTCCCCTCCTCCCTGCTTGTGTTCTCTTCTCTACTCTCTCTCAAATAAAATCTTAAAAAAAAAAAAAAAAAGAACTGGGTCAGGGCCTACATGGGAGAAACTAGCGTCCTCACTCCAGTCAGTCTTCATTTTGGATCCATTGTAATGCAGCAAGAGATTCTATTTTCTGCTTGACTTGGGTTTGAATTTGGCTATTTGCCACACATCATACCCCAACACTTGAGGCCCAGGATTTGTCAATATTAAAGCCATTATAATGATTTGAAGGATACTCACCCACACTGGGAAGGGCAATCCACTTTACTCAGTCGAGTCATTCAAATGCTAGCCTCTTCCAGAAACTCTTGTAGTCACACCCAGAAATAACGTTTAACCAGATGTCTAGGCCTCATATGATCCAGTCAAATTGACATAAAGCATTAACTATCACAAACCCTAATATTTATTAAGCATGTACTATAACCCAGGCATGGTTTTACTAAGTACTTTACTGATATTTCTTAGATGTATGAAAACTACATAAAGAAAAAAATACTTATTCCAGGTGACTTCTAGTCTCTTCCAGTTGTAAGATTCTTTGACTTGATATGGCATTAGAGAAACTAAGGTGTTGAGGTGGTGCTTGGGAACCTGATACTTAGAAGCAGAAGTACAAAGAGAGTTATAAGCTACCTCTTTCTGTGGACTAGGAACTGTGTGTTCCTTACAAACATTTTCTCACTTATTCCTGAAAAACACCCTGTGTGATAGGTATCACTCCTCATCCTATTTTCAGATGAGGAAACTGAGGTACTGTGAGATTCATGGCTTGACTAAACAGCAAGTGTTCAGGTCTGTTGATTCCAAAGCTTGTGCTCTTAAGTTGCAGAGGGACTGCAAAGCCCTCCACATCTGATCTGGATGCCTGAGAAGTTGCCTTTGCATCAGGTCACGGGGATGGAGGCGAGCTAGGGGAGGGTGGGGTAGAAGGAGTGTTGTTATAGGAACAGCAAGTTCCACCATGAGGACGGGTAGCAAGCAGGGCAGGCTGGGGATGAGGAAGGTTCTAGAGGCAGTTCTGCAGGAGTCTCTGAGCCCAGCAGGAAGCCGACTCCCTACGCCCTTCAGCAGCACTTGGTAAGCCTCAGATTTGCTCCCTGTCTCTCCGTGGGCAGGCAGAACAGGATGTTCTTGGAGTTCTCGCAACCAGACTATTCCTAGGGAACCAGCGGCAGAGCCATGGTTAGGGCTACAGACTGTGCTTGCCAGGCCAATGTCCTGCTTTACCTTTTATGGCTAGCTTGAGATGTCACAAGTCTTTAGAGATTTTTGCTTTTTTCTCCTCCTCTTCTTTACGACCCTGAACACATTCCTCCTTTTCTCCCCATCACTTGATTTACCAGCCCCTTCAACAAGTCTGTAACTCACTTGTGAGCCTGGTGGCTTTCCAGTCAGTCATGAGGCAATTCACAGCAGTTTGAGCAGAACACGGACGGGACATTTCTTGGGTTTAATTTATTTAAGTTGCTTCCATCTGCTGGAGTCTAGTGGCTCCTTGGGAACAGGGTGAGGTTTCTTGGTGGCAGGTTGCCAGTTAAGAACACAAATTCGGATGGCAGAGGGGCCTGGGAACATGTCCTGGGTCTGTCGTGAAGTGCACATAACCTGGGGCATGTGATTTGACCTCTCTAAGCCATGATGTTCTCACCTGTAAAATGGGAGAGAACTATTACTTGCCTTAAAGGACTGTTGGGAGGATGGAATGAGAACACTCGTGGAATACTTAGCACTGCTCCTGGCACAGTGCTATCCCCATAATCTTCCCAGCAGGTTGAGGACAACCACAGGCCCGAGATAAGGATTGGATTATGGAGCCAGACCTATCTCCCTAGTCAAGCTTGGAGGGGAAGAGAAAAGAGAGCTTGTACCTGAATGATCCAGTTTGAGATTCCTTAAGATGATAGAATCCAAGATTTTCAATCGTCTAAGGCAATCTTCTAAGACTGAGAAGTAGGCAGTCACGTAGCAGGAGAGTGAAGAAAAGAGTGGGCCAGGGTGACTGCCACAAAGCACCACCCCTGAAGGGAGGCGAGGTTTCCGTGGGAGTGCCTGGCAGCCAAAGATAGGATAGAAGGGCTCCGTGAGCCTGCTCACTGTTTGGGTGGAGGAAGTTATTCCTTGTCCACCTGGGTCAGTTCCTCATTTCTCCTGGAGGAGATGCTGGTGACTTAGGAAAATAGATGGACTGGGTCCCAAGTGCCCTAATCTAGTTCTAACCAACTCATGTTTCCTTTGGGAAACAGAAACCAAAGAAAGAGTAGGCTAATCTGGGCCCCATTGGTTTCTTGGAACAACTGCTCTGTACTCTTTGAGCAAGATATTCTTGGGGAAGCCAGGGCTGAGTCTACCTATTATAGACCTTGGTCTAGGAGAAAAACATCAACAACCAAAATTACAGCTGGGAAGAACTGCCTCCATCTGCAAGTAACTGGGCAATTACCTCCTAATTAAGCTCTTATTAGTTTGTTTTCTGAGCATTTCAGTATAGTACTCAGTAGGTGCACCCCACCCTGCTTGTCACCAAGGTGTTGAAGATTAAGCATTTCACATGAATCGAGGTGGAACTCTTTCATCTGATTTGTTCCAGCATCATGAGGTCTTAAAGCTATACCCTTTCATCTTTGGAGCACTGGGTTTGTAGGGTTTCTATTTTGAGTCCTGTGCCTCAGGGGAGGAAGAGGAAGCACCAGGAGAGGAAAAGACAAAAGGCAGAACTCAGACCACCGTTTTCTCAAGTGTGGTCTAATGGGTCTCTCTTGCATCTGAATCATTTACTATTAAAATGCAGATTCTTGGGGATCAGTTTCAGGCCAGAGTTAGAAACTTCCCAGGTGCTTCTTAGGAATACCGAGGTCTGAAAATCTCAGAGGCAGAAACTCTTGGAGCACCTGGGTGGCTCAGTGGTTGAGTGTCTGCCTTTGGCTCAGGTCCTGATCCCGAGGTCTTAGGATCGAGTCCCATATCAGGCCCCCCGTGGGGAGCCTGCTTCTCCCTTTGCCTATGTCTCTGCTGCTCTGTCTCTCATAAAGAAATAAATAAAGCCTTTAAAAAAAGCAGAAAGTCTTATGGAATATGAACAACATAGATAAGGGAAGTGTACAGACAACTCACCACACCATTCCAGCCAATAGTTTCTGAACCCACCCCAGAAAATCTTTCACTTTAGCATTAAGCTGGGGAAAGCCTGACTGTTCCATGTTTGTACTTCATCTATCTACAGGCGGTGCTGCAAATAGAAAAACGTCTGGCCGAAAAGCCAGAAGTCCAAGAAGGGTCAGTGCATTAACCAATCCCTAGACCACGAAAGGCTGATGTCTGTCTGGTCTCAGGTGTTGTAAATGCTGACTTACAGCCCCTTTATCTGCCGATAACGAAGGTGAACGTAAGTGGATCTCTAGACATGGTTCACACGCGGCTCCCAGGTTCTTGAAAAACCACAAGTGATTGGCAAATGTTTCTATTGCAGACACAAAGTCAAACAAACAGCTCATTTCCTTCAAGAGCTCCTCACAGCAGTGGCTGGGAGTCAGAAGGTAGTAAGGAGCGAGGGGAGGCTTCCTCTCCCTTCCCCCACACCTTCTTCCCCTTTTTGGTGTCAGATTTTTTCTGACACTGGAGTTTAGACTGGCGGAAAGAAGCAATTGATAAAGAACTTCAGGAAGGGGATTTCTATTCTCCCCACCCTCCCAACCCCCAGGCCTTTGCCCTCTCATCAGTGTTACAGACCTTTCATTTTATTCATTTCAGGAAACTTGGGGCCACAAGGCTCTGAATCACAGTCTTGTAAGGCGCAGAACTTCATTCAGTGTGCTCTGGGGAAATGCAGAGCTGGGGCCTGCCCACCAAAGATTTTTTTTAAAAACTTATTCATGAAAGACACACGCAGAGAGAAGCAGAGACACAGGCAGAGGAGAAGCAGGCTCCATGCAGGGAGCCCGACGTGGGACTCGATCTCAGGACCCCAGGATCACTCCCTGAGCCGAAGGCAGGTGCTCAACTGCTGAGCCACCCAGGCATCCCCCTACCAAAGATTCTGATGGGATTCTGATAGATTCTGATTACAGGCAGCCTGGTAACTCTGGAACAGGTGATAGTAGTTCACACTTAAAAAAAAAAAAGAACAGCTTTATTGATTATATTGCACATGCCACACAGTTCACCCACTTAAAATATACAATTCAGTGTTTGTTTTCTGTATAATCACTATTTTTGTTGCAGGGTTCTTTTCTCATGGAGTTGAAGAATGAATCTCGAGGACACAAAAGAGTGAAGAGAAAGTTTATTAAGTGAAGGTGAAAAGAGGAAGGAAAGAAAAAAGCTCCAGAGGGGGTCCCGAATGGGTTACCACTGAGGGCTTTTATGGCTGTCTTTTATAGAAAACTGACCAGGGAACATTAATCTCCTTGACGTCACCACTGATAGCACCATGATTACTTCTCCTTTGAACATCTCCTCTCTTGTTTAAGACAAAGAGGTGGTCTGGTTATGTTCCCTTATCTCTGGTTTTGTTATGCCTCAGCATTTCTGGGATTTTTGGCCAGCCTGATCAAGTAGCCCCCTACCTATCTCTCCCTCCCTAGCCCTGCCTGTTCCTTACTGGTCTTTAGTGTTTACAGCACTCTAAAAGAAACCTGAACCCCCCGTTAGGAGTCACTCCCCATCTCCTCTCCACCCCTAGTCCAGCACTCAGGCAACCAGGAATCTATTTCCTGTCTGTATAGATTTGCTTATTCTGGATAGTTCATATAAATGGAATTATACATATATGGTCCTTTGTGGCTGGCTTAGTGTAATGATTTCAAAGTTCATCTATGCTGTAGCATCAACCAGTATCTCCTTTTTTATGACAAATATTCCATTGTAGAGATATACATTCATCAACTGATGGACATTTGGATTGTGCCTACCTCCTGGCTATTATGAATAATGATGCTATGAAATTCTCTTGGGTGTGTATATATATATACACACGTACACATACACACCTGGGAGTGGAGCTGCTGAGTCATACATTCACTTGGTTTAACCTTTTATGTATGAGAGTTCTAATTTCTCCACATCCTTGTTAACACTAATTATGTTTTTGATTTTAGCTGTCCTAACGGGTATACAGCTATATGAAATTTCATTAAATTTAGCATACAGTTAATGAAATTTCATTTTTAAAAAACCTTATTTTTGAGAAAAAGGGGTGGGGAAGGGCAGAGGGAGAGAGAGGAGAGAGAAAACCTTATATAGTCAGTGAGGAGCCTCACGTGGGGCTCAATTCCACAATCTTGAGATCTTGAATTGAGCCGAAATCAAGAGTCTCAGAGCTTAACCGACTGAGCCTAAGCATCCCAAATTAAAAACAATTTTTTTGATTTTTTTAAAAAGATTTTATGTATTTATTCATGAGAGACACAGAGAAAGAGAGAGAGAAAAGCAGAGACACAGGCAGAGGGAGAAGCAGGCTCCATGCAGGGAGCCTGACGTGGGACTCGATCCCGGGTCTCCAGGATCAGGCCCTGGGCTGAAGGCGGCGCTAAACCGGTGAGCCCCCTCCCCAACACCGCGCTGCCCTTAATTTTTTTTTAAGTAGGTTCCACACTCAGGGTGGGGCTAGAAAGCATGACCCCAGAGATCAAGAGTTGTGTGCTCTGCCTACTGAGCCATCCAGGTGCCCCTCTTTTTTTTTTTTTTTTTTGATTTGCCTTTCCATGGTAGCTAATGTTGAGCATCTTTTCACATACTTATTGGCCATCTGCCTATCTTCTTTGGAGAAATGTCTTTTTACATTTTTTGCTCATTTTTAAATTGGGTTATTAGCTTTTTTATTATTGAGTTTTAGGGATACTTATTCTACGTAAGATCTCTTTGCAGCAATTTTCTCTCATTTTTGGGGTTGTCTTTTTTACTTGATGCTCTTGAGGCATAAGAGTTTTAGGTTTTGATGATGTTTAGTTTGTTTTTTCTCTTGTTGCCTGTGGTGCACACTTTGAGAAACATTACTCAAATGCAACTCGAAATGCTTAGTTGGGCTTTTTAGGTCACTTTGGAGGAGGATTTCCTCCTCCATCCCAGCTAGCCTGGGGTTCCTTCTAAGCACAGAGCTTCAGAGGACCTTCGCAGTCTTTACACCCCTCCCTCTCCCGAGGTCTACCACAATAGAGCAGCTGAAATGAGTTTGGAAATGTCCTTTATTGTGAAAACTCAATGGTCTTTGTCTCTGGGATTTGAAACTTTGATGCAGATGTTGGCAGCTGCGAGGAAGGAGGAGGGGAAGGGCGGGGAGAAGAAACCCTTCCACTGATTTCCATAGTGAGTCATGTAAATTCTCCGTGCTGTCTTGGTTTTCTCACCCATAAAATGGGAAGAACACCTCCATCTGCCCATCTCAGTGGGGGTACTGCGAAGATGAATTAATCTGTATTTTTATTTTTTTTAAAGATTTTATTTATTCATAGAGACACAGAGAGAGAATGAGAGGCAGAGACACAGGCAGAGGGAGAAGCAGGCTCCATGCAGAGAGCCTGAGGTGGGACTCGATCCAGGGTCTCCAGGATCACGCCCCAGGCTGTAGGCGGCGCTAAACCGCTGCGCCACCGGGGCTGCCCTAATCTGTATTTTTAAAAACACGTTGAGATATCTTGGATTAAAGGCATTTCTGGAGCACAAAGTATTATTATAATAATAAATGATTTAATAGGAGGGAGAGTGCAGCCACTAAAGCAAGAATCGGAAGGGGCAGGAAGGAGACTGGCTCTGATCACTGGAGTCTGAGCCCAGACACAGCTTTTTATCCATAGAAGTGAGCTATGATTTCTCACAAACTGGGTTATTTAATCTGAATTCAACATTGCTTTACAGAGTGCTTCCTACAGGACTTCTGCCATAAGGAAAGATTACAATCTTTTTAGGAAATAAGTTATGCACATGAAAACAATTAGAAGCAAAGCAAGGCATTATGATGAAG